CTGCCTACGTCTCCGGGCTGCTGCAGATATTTTACTGAAAAGGGAAATATAAACAGTGTTTACAAAACACTCACAATCTCTCAAAATACTCACAACCACTCACAACCCACGACCCAACTACACCCAGAAAAATTAAGAGCTTCTCTCTCTCTCAATTTTCTTATGTGTTTATGCTTTCGTTGGATTGCATAAAATGAACGGAGTGGCTTGCTATTTATAAGGAACGATTGCAGTGTGAACGCTCCATCAAATTGTGAATTCGGTGGCCTCCAATTTGGAATTCGGTTTCCAAATTCAATTTGATTACTGTGCCTCCAATTTTGATTTCGGTGGCCTGCCAAATTTGATTTCATTGGCAGCCACCTTCTTTGACTTTTCAACAGTTAGAACCATTCTGCAATGTTACACATTATTTCTAAAGATAATTTTAAGAATATAAGCTGGCTTTACCAGTAAACCATGGCATATGGCAAGTTCATACCAGATGGAAGAAAGCTTGGGGCTGAGTGACTAATTTGGGGGTATTTTTTCAAATTATTTATGTAAATATGGCTGTTTTAAAACTATTTATACTTTTGGGGCATTTTATTATGGTGTTGCTATGATCCATAGCGACACAAGTGACACATGTACCTTTTCTTTTTGATAATTACGAACAGTTAAAATTTAGCCAATAAAAATTGTTATAGGCTGTAGCGAATTTTGTAAAGTTGTTATGGGCTTCATCCCCATTATAAAAATATAATTAATATATATTATTTATTATTAAAAAAATATTTTATCTAAAGGCGCTATGGGTCATAGTGATATTGTGTCACTGTGGACCATAACGACCTTGTTTATTAAATTATGTTTTATTTTTAACATTTTTGTTTATAAATTTAATTAAAAATATTTATTTATGTAGTTGTTTTTTTATTTTAATTAAGTGAAGCAAAAAAGTATAAACAAAACTTAATAAATAAAAAAAAGAAGTATAAAATAAAAGAATTATAAAAAAATTGAAAAATTAAATATAATTTTTTTTATTTGTGTACTTTTAATTATTTTTTTAAAATCTATTAAGATTTTTTTTATATGTTAATTAAAAAAGAACTGACAAAAAAAAAGAAGTATTTAAAATAAAATAAAAATATTAAAAATAAATAAATAAATAAATAAAAAGGAAAAAGGGTATAAAGCATCATCAAGGATCTATAAAACAAAACCATTCAAGAGAGAGTAGGTATCACAATTTCCTACTGCATGTGTAATTGAAACAAACAACTTATACCTGTTTCATGATGGTAAACAACGGAGGCGTTATGGTCTATAGCGATACAATATTTTTATAGGCTATAATAACTTCCATTTTTCCTTTTTTTTTATAATTATTTTATTATTTTATTATTTTGTTATTTTATTTTATATTATTAATTTATTTTAAATTTTAATTTTATAATTCTGTTTTATCCATTTTTTTTTCATTTTATTCCTTCATTTAATTTATTAATTTTAATTTATATATTTTAAATATTTTTTTTAACCATTTTTTCTTCAGTTTATTTTTATATTTTTATTTTATATATTTTAAATATTTATCAAAGGAGGCGCTATGGGCCATAGCGACCTCATGATTTATTTATTTATTTATTTTATTCACATTTATATTATCAATTTTTTCAAATTAAAATTTTATACTTCTGTTTTATTCTATTTATATTTTTTAATATTCTTAGCTTTTTTTAAATAAAATATTTTGTTATTTTTATTATTTTTTATTTTTTATGCTATTTTTTATAAATAAATTGTGTCGCTATATATATTTTATTTTATTTTCTAATTTATTATATTATACACTATACAAAATTTTAAATTAATTTTATTTGTTAAAAAATATTATATATTTAAAATTTCAGAAAATTAATTTAAAATTAATTATTTAAAATGTGGCGTTGTATGTCATAGCGACACTAAGTCGCTATAAGCCATAGCAACGTCTTGATTTTTAATTTAATTTTATTTATAATCAATTTTTATGAAATTTTAATTTTATACTTATGTGAAATTTTAATTTTTATCAAATTTCAATTTATTACATGTATATTATAAATATTTTTAGTTTTATTATTTTTTATGTTATTTTTGTTAAAAAATATTATATTCTCAATTTTTCAGTAAGTTTTATTATAAAAAATTATTTAATTGGTGGTGTTGTAGGCTATAGCGACTTCGTTGAAGCCGTTTTGTGTCGTCATAGACTGTAGCAATGTTGATAATATGACGATCATGGCTTCTTAGAATTTAAAAAAATACACTTGTCATAGCGACACTATAGTAAAATACTCCAAGGTGTAAATAGTTTCAAAATAATTTTTTTTACATAAATAATTTTAAAAAGTACTCTAAATTGATAGTGAACCATGAATTTAAACGCTGACCTGATCAAGATACTACATCTACATCAAATGTTCCCTCATTCCCTTAACTTCCTCTGACGCGCTTTGCTCCGGTTGTTGGCTATATTATAGACATGTCTAGTGCATTTTGGGATTTGGAGTTCTGCAAAAGTTTCATGAAGACCGTCATATATATGTAATGTCACTCGGCCCAGACCCCAGAGTGACATGACATAAATGTGGTGACCATACACCATCATAAACAAAATTATGAAGGGAGGGGGGAGATAAAAATATATAGCTTGAACTTATTTTCTATGAAATTATTATTCACATAATATGCTTTTCCGTTTCAACTTTCAAGTCCTATGCGATGGGAATGCTAGTAACACTTGCTTTTCAACACGTTTTAGGTGAAAATTATACGTGACCCAAGGAGTTCTCCTAGTGTGTTGCTAAACTATCAACCTTCAACTGTTGGATTGTCGTAATATTTTTGTGCATTGGATGCCTCATTCTTAGACTGTCGTGTGAGGGCTACATACAAAATCCATGTCATTGCAACTCAAGTCTCAAACACTTCCACAGATAACAGTCTGGTTATCCTTGGGAACCTCAAGATTTTACTTTTAATCTCGACATAGTCTCTTATTCAGTGACCATTCTTTGAATATGTATAATTGTCAAGGATTCTCAGTCAAGGGTAAGAAATGTTTGATCTAATCTATCTTTTATTTGACTTCAAACTATACTAACTAGGAAAAAATTAAGGTGCTGAAAGAGGAATTGGTTTCACAGAACTTTGAATGCGCTGGAATGCTGCCCTTACTCTTTCCTTTAGACCTTCATTTTCACACTCAACTTCCCCACTTTCTTTATTGAGCACTGCAACATTCCCATCAATGTTAATTATCAATTTCCCGTTTTCACCTACCTTCACATCTCCAAAAAGTGAGATAAGGAGGGCAAGCATAACCTTCTCTGTCTTCTTCTTATTCTCTTCCTCCATTTTAAGGACATCAAATTCATCCATTAGTTTTGGCACATTGCGACTGATTTTTAAAATCAGAGCAACAATTGAATCTGACACCATATCACTCAAGGGGTCTGATGGCCAATGCAAGGAGTTCATCTACATTTGTTCATAGTTGAACCGATGCAGAGCCTCCCAACCAAAGATGAAGCACCATAAAGGTGGAGACCGATGGCAAAGATAGGGCCTCCACCATTCTCTCCCACAGCAAAACCTACGGCGTTGAGCTCATATTTTGGGATAGCTCCTGTGGAAACATTTGTGGATTTGTAGCACCACCACATTTTGGAGAGCCCCTCCGAGATCGTTTGTGGATTATTTGGAACACTAACAATTAGGGTTTTGTGACTCGAAGGTCAACAGCAAAAGAGCCTGCGAGAATGCTGTGTCGAGACAGTTGCGTGTGTGTTGAGGGTTGTGGAAATTTGCCTTCACTTCTACATCGGTCAAGTGTAAACCCGATGTAGAATAATTTTGTAATTCCATTTCTACATCGGTCAAATAATAAAATCGATGTAAAATATAACGATGTAAATATAACGATGTAAAAGTGTTTTTCTAGTAGTGACTTTTTGGGAAACTTCCTAGAAGGTCACCCATCCCTCAATTATACAAATCTTATACTAGTAGAATCTTTGGATAAATATTTCTAATTAAATTTTTTCTAATATATATATCTTATTTATTATATTTTTGTATTTGTAAAAATATATTAATATATAACTAATTATATTTATGAAATATTTAATTTATCTATAAATATATAAATAATTATATTGATATTAAGTTATGGATAACATATGCCTATAACAATAATAATATGTATAAATTTTATTTATTTAGTAATGAAAATTATAATATATGTAACACCTCGATTTTCATACCTTATATTAATATTATTTTAGAAATTATTTCAGTATGTTAATGTATTAATTTTTGGATTTTCGGTACTATTTAAGTCTTCATATGAGCATTATTTTGTTATAAAACATGATTTGTAATTATTATTTTGATATTTAATGTAATTACTTTAGAGTTTCGATAATATTTAAATAATTATGAGAATTATTTTATTTATGAGACGTGATTTAAATTATTATTTTGATTAGTGATATATAGGTAACTTTTATGAAATGTATTTTATTAATAATTGTGCTTATGTTATTTGATTAAAAGGAAGAGGTATGTTTTAATTATTATATTATTTTATGAGAAGGGAAGGGAGGACATAATAGTCTTTTGTTAATTTTATTATTATTATTATTATTATTATTATTATTATTATTATTTATTTTATTTTATTAATTGAAAAAAGGGAGTTAAGGAAAGTTATCAAAAGTTATATAGTCATTTTTCACGTATTCACCTTCTACTCATTTCCTTCTTATACCTTCTAAAGAACAAGGAGAACTTAGAGAAGAGGAACAACCAGATTCCGCTTGTGCCGCATCTTCTACTCATCAAGGTAAGGGAGAGTGAGAAACCTCGCTCGGGGGTGTGGGAATAATTGTTGGGTAGCAAGATTAACACTCAATCCCTTGCCTGATTCATGCTTTAGGAACACGCAAATTATGCAAGTTTTATGTTTTAATATCTGAGTTTTCTGTTGGGTTCCTGGTTGGATGTGATGCGTGAATATGTGTTTGATTTCAAAATTAGATAAGTTTTGATATGAATTAGAGTTCTTTTGACAAGATTTGAGGTAGTTTACGTAAAATTGAGTATTAATTCGTGTTCTGGGTGTTATTTGAAGTGTTTTTACCAATTGAATGTTATAATTACGTGTTTGGTTGTGAAATATGCAAGATTTCATGAAGTTAAGTAATGCAAGTTTGCGTTGAGGCGCCAGGCACAGTTCTTACTGCCAGACACAATTTTTAAGTCGGGCTTAGTTTTTAAGCCCTGATTAACAGTTAAGTTTGGTAGAATTTTTTTAAGCCAGGCGCAATTCTTTTTAAGCCAGGCGCACGTAGGTTATCCTGACGAGACCCTAACAGTACCTCATTCTAATTGAGAGTGCGCACTTGAGCCAACATGTACTCCTAGATTACTCCAGGTATGTTGCTTCGGCAACATACCACGTGATATGTGATTATGAGACACGTGACTAATGCATGCATTTATGAGTCGAGTCCATGACATCATTACATGATAAATGAATGTGCATGTGATACTGATTGTATATGTGATTTGTTCTTGTGACTTGTATTATATGTTTGTCGTGTGTGTGCTGTCTAGCATTTATTTTTGCACCTGAACCTGAGTGAGATGTTTCTCACTCCCCTGTTGCTCTTTATATGTGTTTAAATTGTGTTGCAGGTGATTATTAACATTAGAATGTTGGTGATGAGGCTTAGGCTTCAATTGGGTATGCTCTAATAGGATATGTGACATCGGAACATAACTAGGCTTAGTTTAGGATTTCATTATTGTTATTTTATTTTGGAAATTTCATTTTCTTGTAAATTCCACATTTGACCATGATTTACATTTACGAATGTGAATTCTCTACTCTTATGTTAGTGGAACCATTGTTTTAATTCAAATGATTTTATTTACTTCGAGAATATGTTTTATAGTTATTGTTATTTTGTTTTGGAAAAACCATGTTTCATTTTCTTGTAAATTCCGCATTTGACCATGATTTACGTTTACGAATGTGAAATCTCTACTCTTATGTTAGTGGAACCATCGTTTTAATTTAAATGATTTTATTTACTTCGAGAATATGTTTTATAATTATTGTATATGTATGTTGGGTTAGAGGGTGTTACAATATATGTTAACAATTGAATAATTTCAAATAGTTATATATAATAATAATAATAATATTAATTTTTAAATTATTAGAATTTTAATCGGAGTTAGAGACTTAAATCTTACAATTGCAATATTTTTTTATTAAAATTTAGGGAAACCAAATCATAGAACTGCAATATTTTAAGAATTAAAATTGCTCAATTAAAACTTTGGTCATTAAAATTGAATAATCGCAATATTTAAGGGAACAAACATGTAATTAAACCTTTTTCAAAATTGGACACTACTTATTATTAAAAATAATATAAAAGACTCATACTATATCACCACTTTTTTATTGATGTTTATTATTATTTTTAAAAAAAGGTGGGCAACTTGTTATTAAAAGAATTAGCAAATATCAGTTTTATAATACCACTTTATATTGAAGGTGTTGCTTATTATATTATTTTAAAAAAGTGGACATCACTTGTTTTTAAAAGTGTTATCAAAGACTTTCTATAACACCATTTTATATTGATGGTGTTGTCTATTATTATTTTAAAAAAGTGGACAACACTTATTTTAAAAAGTGCTATCAAATACTCATTCTATAATACCACTTTTTGTTGATGATGTTGTCTATTATCATTTTAAAAAAGTGGACAACACTTATTTTTAAAAGTTCTATTAAATACTTATTCTATAACACCATTTTTTTTATTGATGGTGTTATCTTTTATTATTTTTAAAAAGTGGAAGCCACTTATTTTAAAAAGTTTTATCAAAGACTCATTCTATAACACCACTTTTTATTGAAGGTTCTGTCTATTGTTATTTTAAAAGTAGTGATAGTTTAAAGCGCAACGAATCTCAATCCCAGATATACTTTTCAACATTATTGTATTAATATAAAATAATAAAAAATTAGTTCAAAGATTCGTCAGTTAAGAAATGTCATTTCCTCAAAGTTGAAACAGACACTCGCGATGCAGGTAGAAAAGAACACGTATGCCAGAAATGGGTTTTCTAAATTTTTACATCCTTTTTCACTTATGACTCAACTACGAAGTTGTGGGGATTAATTATAGAGAAAACCTGATCATCTACACGAGGGAGATCCCTACTAATTTTAAGGTAATGAATACCAAACCAAAAAGACTCCACTGTATCTCCCACCAAAAGATGCTTAGTTACCAAAATTTCAATCATGTCTAAATTAAAAGAAAACTATAATGCTTTAACAAGAAGGACATCGGAAGAACAGGCATATGAAGGTGACAGCCACGAGTCTCTAGGGTGCATAATAACAAACAGAAAACTACACTCTATTGTGATGCTATTGTGAAGATGCGCTATAGTGTTTGTTGTCTATAGGCACCATCAGGGAGAAAATAGCAGAGACCAAAAAGTAAGACAGAATGATAAAACATTTGAAGAAAATAAGTTAATTAAAAAATTATATACATAAATTTATAAGTTCAAGAATTAAAAGATTTTCCTAAAGTCCCACATCAATTAAAAATAAAATAATTAAAGAGTATATAAGTTGGGGCAACACTCACCTTACAAGTTGATTTTGTATGGTTGAGTTACTTGAGTATTAGATCTATAATTTATAATCTAAGAGTTTAAGAGGTTATCTATCGCATGTGTTAGATTTGTGGAAACAAATTTTAATGTTTTGGATGAATTCATTATAAGCATTTAAAAATTGAAAAATTATTAATAGAAATTGTATAAAAGCTCAAGAATTAAAAGATTTTCCTAAAGTCCCACATCAATTAAAAATAAAATAATTAAAGAGTATATAAGTTGGGGCAACACTCACCTTACAAGTTGATTTTGTATGGTTGAGTTACTTGAGTATTAGATCTATAATTTATAATCTAAGAGTTTAAGAGGTTATCTATCGCATGTGTTAGATTTGTGGAAACAAATTTTAATGTTTTGGATGAATTCATTATAAGCATTTAAAAATTGAAAAATTATTAATAGAAATTGTATAAAAGCTATCTTCGAATAGTAATTTCTTTGATTTTTTTTGTATGAAACTTTCTTGCGAATTATTTTTGCAAAAAAATTTCTTACAAATTTTAAAATTCGCAAAAACATATTATCTACAAAGGTATTATTTAGAGATAAAATTTTACCAAAAAATTTGTAAGAACAACATTTTCTATGAATTTTGTATAAAAATTCACATGTAATAAATTTTTTTTTAATAATAATATATGCAATTTACCCATTTTCCGAACTAGACAATTACTGAACGGTTGACTCAATAAATGTCAAATCAAAACATTATTGTTTCAGTA